ACTCCCTTATCAATAAAATTCATGGTTCGATTCTAAAAGATTGCGTTTCTGACTTTAATTCTTGGAGAATATATAGTATATCATGTCAGTGTGGATTGAGATATATTGGCAAAAAAAAAAGAGTTTAAAAGTTTCATATCAAGGAACATGAATCCTATGTCTAAAATGACGAAATTAACAAGTCTTCAATAGCATATCATAGTTGGAAATTTAATCATAATTTTGACTTTATTTTTGGCAAAAATTATCCAAAGGGCTTCTTCCGTTGGTGAATTCTATTTTATTGAGGCTTTTCATATTCACAAGGATTTAACATGTTTAGTGAATGATTTTAAGTCCAATCCAGTCCTCCCTAATGCCTTTAAATTTCTATTATCATAATTCTTTTATTTTTGCCAATAGATGGCATTGCCTCCATGGTGTTGCATGTGGTACTACTGGAGGGTATAAAAAGCCGTTACAGAGGTTGCGTTGCCTTTTTTTCGATGTTCAGGCTTGGTGCGTGAAGGTGCAGTTGCCCCTCGCTCCCTATTTTTTGACTTCCTTGATTTGTTAGCATTTTAGTCTATGTGTTATATGTTTGATCAGATAGCCTGGCTCAGTAAAAGTAGGCGGCCAGTGTAAATCTGATTCAAAATCCGGTTACGACCACATGTTTGCTGATAACGACCACGTGTTTCTGAGATTCTTTTGCCAACGCTTTATTTTTCTTCTTTTTCCCCTTTCTAGTAATTTTGTTCTCCTGATGTAGAGGGACCTTTAGTTGCCTTCGAAATTGAGTGTTTTAACATATGTATGCTAAATACAAGGTTGTTATTGCGATTTTAATTTAACTACTTGCCTGATTATCCCGAGTTATCTCGGGTTCATATATATTGCAGTTAATTATTATTCCATGAAAACTCAGGCGAAGCAGAATTTGTTAGTACGATTTGTTTTATCATGGTTATACTCGGCTTGGTTTGTTGGTTGCGCTGTTCTTTTGGAGGGACTGGTCATGTGTTTCCGAATTGTATAGTATATTTCGGCTTGTGGATTAGTAATGTATAAAGAAGGATACATGCATTGAAAAAATAAAATAAAGGCAATGGTGCAAAATAGCGAAAGTGATGATTTCGAATAGTGATTATGAAGAAGTGGAAAAATTTTTTTTAAAAAAATCAAATCTAACAAGACAGTGTACTCTGTGCTCCGGTGCAAGAGATTCCAGTGGTAAGCCAGTAAGAAAAGACACCAGATACCAGTGTAGAATGTCAGGTATCACTTTGTATTGTCCCTTGTTTCAAAAACTATTATACAAAGATTAATATTTTACTTTTTGGGGGGGGCCCACTAGCGGCAATTTATATAGTATGGGCAATAGCATAAGAAAAAATGTCGTTTGCTCTGCAAAAATTATCCAAAAGGCTTCTTTCCATAAGTGAATTGGATTTTCTTGAGGCTTTTCATATTTGCAAAGATTTAGCAGGTTTAGTTAATGATTTGAAGTCCAATCCAGTCCTTCCTAATGCCTTTAAAATTCTACTATAATTCAGTTATTTTTGCCGATAGATGGCGTTACCTCCTCGTGTTTGGTACTACCAGAGAGTATAAAAAATCCGTTCAGTGGTTGATTTCCATTATTCGAAGTTCAGATTTTGAGCGTAAAGGAGCAGTTGCGCCTCGCTCCCTAATTTTAACTTCACTAATTTTTCTTCTCCTTTCTGTTACATGTTTGATCAGATAGCCTGGCTCAGTAAAAGTAGGCGGCCAGTGTAACTCTGATTAAAAATCTGGTTATAACCACGTGCAGTGCTGATAAGGACCATGTGTTTCTGAGACTTCTTCCCCTTTATTTTTCTTCTTTCTATGTATTTCTTTCTCCTGATGAGGAGGGACCTTTAGCTGCCCTCGAAATGGATTGAGTGTTTCGATATAATTACGCTAAATACAAGGTTGTTTTTACGATTTTGAATTCTCCTACAGTTGGAAATTAGAAATAAGAAGAGGGAGGAGGGGATGTTAAAGTCAGCTCAATGAAGCATCAAGAGAAAATTTTACTCTTGATATTTACAGAGGAAATTCCATTTCTTTATCCCAATGACTTTCAAATAATGTAACTTCATCAAGACAAAACAAAAAAATCATACTTTGAAAAGTACCACGGGATTTGTTGAAAAAGATTAATACTGACACAAGTGTTGCATGTATACCTTTCCAACGTCTTCCAACTGCAAAGTCCCCTGATATTTCACATGTGTACTACGGCTTTGGTGTCTTGAAAAGAGCTCTTTCTAAGTGGAAACCCACCATGAATGATGGACTGTTAATAAGTAGTGGAAGAGAAATAGAAATCAGTACTTCTGAAAATTTTACAAAAAGCCCTTTTATCATGAAAATCATGGTGCAGATGTACAGAATAAAAAAGCTGTTAGAAGTAACGTTTAAAATAAGTGCTCCTTACATTTTAGACATTAATGAAATGGGCCTGAAATTATTCTAAAAATGTGTAAACACACTTTTGTATGTTCATTAATTATTGAATTTTTTTATAGTATTTAAAAATTCTTTGATGAGCAAAAGGATTTGTTTCATATTCAGAATTTTCTCAGGATAAAAGTGTAAAAGAATGAAATTAGCCAAGGAACATAAAATTTAAAATATAAAAAATAATATATTTTACATCAGAATCATATTGTAAATAGTGAAATAACATAACTCTTGCATTATAAAGTAAATATTAAGTCAACTTGGAATTATTTTGAAATGGCATTTCCAAGCAGTGCAAAGCACCCTCAGAAGAAAATCTCAGTTTTCATTTGAGAGCCTCTGGGTCTTTCACATTTCAGTGTTGATAACTATGACTTTTCCTCACCCTGTTATATTGATTGCCTTTAAAAGCTGAGTTTTTTGCAAACATAAGATGAAAAAAAAAGCATCACCATTAAAAAGTACCTTTATCTCTGTAGCAAAAAATGTTTGCACACCATGAAATCACAATGGAACATAAATGTCATTTGACATGAAGCTTCCTCAAACGCAGTAGTATGCATGCACCTAATACGTGTACAGTGTGTTAGAATGAAGTAAGTCAAATGATACTGAAAGTCCAGTGCATGATGACCTTATAAATTTGGACCAGTTTCCATAGTAATTCTGTTGGCTGTAGTTAAGGATAATGCCTGAAAGACCCACCTAATGAAGTCACATGCAACTAAGTAAATTCCAGGGAGGATGCATCAGTGCCATCTGAGAAGCAAGGTGATCATGTCACTGAATTAGCTGACATGAAGGTTGGAATGACAAAACAGTGAGACATTATTATCAACGGTAGTTCCAGCATTCATTTATCAGTAAATGGAAGGCAACAGCAGACCGCAGATCTCAACTGTGTGTTGAGCCATCCAGTGTGGCGCCTTAAACTTATTAATGGCTGTAGTTTCCATTATTCAATGGAAGCTATTCACATAAAGAGGCAGTATTTTATTTGGTTATCTGGAAAGTTTGTGCCAATTTTGAAGGAATATTGAAAAGCAGGAGATTTAAATTTTAGTACACATTTATTAAATTATATAGGTGCCACTCTGTTCTACAACCTTTCTCAATCTTTCAGGCAGCTTGAAAATTCCATCCTGCCTGAATCTGTAAATTTTTTTCAGCGAAAACCTTTTGTATGGGATTTTTTTATCTTGACCAAAGAGTTGAAATTTTTTCCATTAACAGAATTTTTTAATGACCGAAATAGGTGGAAATCAAAATGTGCAAGGTCTAGTGAATATGGGAATAGGATAAATCATCCCAACTGTACTCCAACAGCTTTGCCAAGTTATCAAAGACACGTGAGGCTGCATGTTGTTCTGATAAATTAAGAAGCCTTTCCGAATCACTATTTCTATACTTTTTTGTTTGATTGCTGTCCTTAAATCATCTAATTGGGAATAATACTTCTCTGAATTTATGGTTGCGTTATTTAATAAAATCTTGTATTACAGGATCTGTTTCCAAATGCCATCAGAGTCAGAGCGTGACCTTCTTTGGATGAAGACCAGCTTTTTAGGTGACTAAATGTAGAATATTTCTTTTCCCCCAGGATCTTTTACACTCAGCAGTATTATAAATGGTTCATTTTTAATCTCCCATCTCTACCTTCTTAAAAATGGTGTCTCCTTATTTTGTTTGTAGAGTGAGTCACAAATGGAAATGTGATCCATCAAATTTTTCTCCATTAAATCATGGGGAACTTATACATCAAAGTGCTTTATAGCCAAGCATCACACAATGCTCCCGGATGGTGGATTTTGATGTGATGTAATCTGATATTTATTTGCATTTGAAGAGTTTACCTGAGCGTTCTTGGTCTTTAAGGTTGAAATCAACAGCTTTAAACCTAGCAAACTACTTCCGTATAGTTCTTTGAACTACAGCAACTTTTTACATATCTTGTTTGCCACTAGTGTGGCATTTTTGCCTTTCTGGGACAAGAAAAGTATTAAATACCTAAAATACACTTTATTTTCTTCCATATTCAAAGGCATATAAAACTGACATAAATTAACATATCGTAACCAAATTTTTGTTCAAATATACCTAACTTTTCAAACAACCCAATAGGATTACCCATACATCAGTATATACTTCAAGAAAACATTCATTCATAAGAAAGCAGTAGATAAAAGGGAGGACATATCATTGGCTGCAAGTAAGACGAAAGAGTTTTTCTCTGGTAAAACGCATTTATTGTTTGAGCATTGTCTTATCTCTGTTGGTTTTAGTAGGTTTTATATTAAGAAATGCTGAAGTGTTTTGAATCTTATTTGTATGTCTGTTATTGAGGAGTATTCAGGTTACTTTTTGACTCTCTCTTTATATATCATGTTGTTTTTTCATTAATTTTTTAATTTTATATTGCTTAAGTCTTTGTTATATACTAGTCTCAACATTTGCCTGTAGCTTTTTAATACTGTGATTTCACTTTAGCAGAAAAATTTTAAATTATATTTATTCTTTTAATTTTTTAATAGAATGCGTACAACTACTACTTGCACACAATGCACCAGTTAAAATAAAAAATAAGCTGGGATGGAGTCCTATAGCTGAAGCAATAAGTTATGGAGACAGACAAACTAGTAAGCAATTTTTTTTTAATTATAAGTAGTTATACAAGGTGAGGCTGTGAAAAAGTAACTCATCACTGAGAATAATATAACTGGAGGAATAAGCAGGTGGGTTGTTTACTTTGCCTATGAGTTACAACAGTTGCTGAAAGTAGTCACTGTTCATCTGTATGCACATTGGAGCATGATGGCTGATATTACTTGCATCTCTTAACAATGATACTGTGGTTATTCATCCATGGTGTGTGGATTATTGGCATACACATTTTCTTTTGAATTTCGCTACAGATAAAAATCAGTCAGGAAGATGGTGACAGTAACCTTTTCCTTACAATGCCGTCTACCATAAACAGTTTATGAACCCATGCCAGCAAGTCATGTGAGGTGTGTCATATTGCCCCATCTTGGTGGAAGAGCAGAACAGTTTTTTGTTGTTAGTAGATCACAAAATTTGTTTACCAATATCGAGGTAAGCTATAGTATTCACAATTAATTCGATAAAAATTGGACCCACTATTTGTATTTCTGTCACCTTGTATCAAATGCCAGTTTCATGGTCCTGACGTGGGTTTTTCTAAGTAAGACCATAACTCTGTATTCTGAGAATTTTCATGACTTGACTAGTGAAACCCAGCCATATGAAATGAGGGAGGCCTGGATTTCTTTATGTTTGTGACAGAGTTGGTTTGATTCTATTTCTGAACCAGACTGATACAGCACTTAATTGGTTATTTTATTCCTGTGTACTTGATGCCAAAGTTGTCTTATGTTTCCTTAATCTATCCACTTCACTAATAACCTTGCAGACATATGCTATTTGTTATTCTAATGAGGAAATTGTCTATCTGAAGCAGTGTGCAAAAGAACTATTTATTTTTACACAGGAATTCTTCTTCACATAAATAAATGAGGGTGCGTAACTCTTTAATTGGGCTTAGAAGTTCAGCAGGCTTAGGTGCTTGTTGAGAATCACTGAGAACTTCAAGTTTATGCATATGTATATATAAAGAGTACTTCTTTATATATATATATAAAGAAGTACTCGTTTTTTTTTTTTCGAAGAAAATTTGAGACTGAGTCTTATAATCATTTGCAGCTCATGTTAGATTGATGCCAAAATGTTATTTAGAACATATGCTAAGCATTGATTTACATTTTCTTAAAGTTACCATGCAGAACTGAATAGAAAAGCAAAATAAAGCCAGAGCACAGCTTTATTTGGTAACTAAGTTGGCAAATAATTGCTAGAGAGCAAGGGTATGCAATCTTCTTGTAAGGGTGTGGCACTAGTACTAAAGGCAAGCTACGTTTTCATTGGCCAACCCTGTATAATGAAAGTATATACTAATACTTTTTAATTAAAATTTACATCTATTTTTAATATTTGGGTATTAGGTGTTACCTGCTAACACATCACCAACAATCTGTTGTTCAACAATCATTAAATATATTCCTGATGTCATCATATTGGTGAAACAAGTTTTTGATTTTCCATGATTATTGGTTACAATAAAATTTACAGAATCACATCAGACTGTTATTTACCACAGCTGTCTCTACCTGTGTATGAACTCTCTTAAGTGACTTCTCTTGAACTAGTTCCCAATTCTTATTGTAGGACTTGTTTGTTAGCTGTTGTTGACATCACATTTTATTACATTTCATCAGATACTTGCAGGATAACTGAAATGACTCACAATATTTTGGCAAAATACCACGTGCATGAAAATAATGACAGATTGCTTCTGCTTAATTTCTTGACAAATCTAGTAAACACTTAATACATGAGTAAAAAATAATGAGACAATCATCCCAGGAAATTTCATTATTAAAAAAAGTTACCAAGAAAAAGACTATGTGCTTGCTTGACCGTTTTGAAGTTTAAATAAATAAATTAATTAAAAAAATAATAAATAAAAATGAAAAAAATCCCCACTTTCTCCTAACCTTAAAAAAAAAAAAAAAAAAAAAAAAAAAAAAAGAAAAGAAAAGAAAGAAGAGAGAGAGAGTGAGACAGAGAGAGAGAAGAAGAAGAAGAAAGAAAAATAAATGCAAAATTGTAACTTTCTTAAAAGGATTTGGAACCACTTCACTGGTTGCTGAATGACCAGAGGAATCAGAGTCGGGTGGTACTTCATGCAAGACATCGGCAGGTATTTTTTTTAGTTAATACTCTAGAACTATATTTACTTTTAACTGAAATTTTCAAAAATTATAATTAAATATGAAATAAGGAATATTTCAAATAACATACGTTACAAAAAATGTACTAAATTTATTGGTTATATATTCTATTTAATTGATATGTAAAAGGTGTGTAGAAGAAAAAATAGTAAAGTGCAATATTTATGATAAAGGTAGCCTTAGAATACTATTTCTTGACTTTTGCTTGTTATTCAAAAATGCTGTGTAGCAATAATGTAAAGGGGTTTAAGTCTTCTAATTAACTTGAACTTAATTAGTTAATAATCATAAAGTATTTCATAAAGTAATATGCAATGCACAGGAAAGCTATTGGTGTTCACGTCTTAAAATGAATTTTGCATTGGTAGCCAATAAATAATTAAAAATGTAATCATATAAATTTAACTAGTATGTTTGATATAGTTGGATGTATAGATAATCATTTAAGAGAAAACAAAAGTATTTTGTTTTCTCTTAAATTACATGAAAATTACAAAATTGTCTTACATGAAAATTACAAAAATTTTCATGCAAGACAATTTTTTAAAAAAAAAATTTCTTGTTTTTTCTTTTACCACTATTCATATTGAGCTTAACTAAGTGCAACACATAAAAAAAAAAAAAAAAAAAAAGATGAGGAAAAAAAGCCCTTAAATGTTTTAGCAATTCCAGAGTTTTTAAAGAAAATCGAGACATGTAAGTGTTATAATTCAGATAGTGTTTTATGACAAAGTATTGTAAAATAAGTACATATGTTTATCAAAGGAATTTCATGTAAATTGTATTGCAGTTTCTTCTCTTATACGAAAAATGAAGATGCAGTCCAGGGAATCCATGGAAGTAAGAAGGCCAGATCTAATTTTAGCTTTAAGTCAGATGGGTGACTTCTTCATGGAATTAAAATGGGATTTCCAAAGTTGGGGTATGGAAATGTATAAATTTTTTTGTGTTAAAATTGCTTAGATTATTAATTTAGTTTTTTGTGCTGTGGCATTGGTATTATAAAAGTGTTTGTTATTTAATAAATTAGTGTTATTATTGTTTTGTAGTTCCACTGGTGTCTAGAATACTGCCTTCAGATATTTGTCGTATTCATAAAAAGGGATCAAATATCCGGTAAATCTTTGTATAATCTTTTTATATTTTCTGAAATATTTGTTGTAAATGTAAGATTTTTAAACTTTAATTTTTCTAAATCTGAGTGTGAAATTGTGAGTACTGTTCAATTAGGAATGTCAGTAAAAATAGCTCATCAGTATTGTCATTACCCACATTATAGTAGTAGAGTAAAATATAATGTGAAATATTATATGCTGTATTGTTATTGAAATTTTATGCAAAGAATCTATAAATATCTTTAAATATCTGCCCCTTCCAAAATATAATAAATGTCCAATTATCTGGATTCTCTGTGTTTGGAAATCCATTTATCTGGACTATTTCCTTTTAAACAAGAAAAATTAAACTTGCTGTTAATTTATTAATGTGTTTTTACTGATTTTGACCTTTTTATAGCAAAGTTATTTTTACACATGACTATTTTTTCCTCCTTCTGTTTTACAGTGTGTTCAGATTATATGTGGTGCAAATGTAATTAAATAAGTTTTTTTTTTTTTTTTTTTAAAGCAATGAGATGAATCATAATGCTAATGCAAATAAACATTGTGCCTTTAAAATTTTTAAAATGTTTTGATGTGCACTTATGTATTAATGTAACCACTTTGGTGCAATTCGGCGATTTTTTTACAGATGCAAAAGAATGGTATAAATCATCATTAATTTACTTATTACTTTCATAATTATTTATTGTGTGTCTATATAATATATATATTATATTTTAATAAGGTCTTATTTTCAAAAGGTGTATCAAAAGCTGCTTGCAAACTGTTTATTTCTTTTGTTCTGGTGGAAATTTTATGGCAATGGCTTTAATATCAGATTCAAAGCAGTTCTCCCCATTAGTGATATTACAGCAAAACATCGTATTTCTGAAGAAATTTTGCTGCAGTTTCTGCCACTGCTGAGAAATTCCACAAGCGCATATTTTAAAATTGAATTAAAGGCAAAAAAATATGATGATTTGCTTTTAAAAACCATTTGAACTTTGAACATTACAAAAGTGGTGACGTTGCTTAACTGAAGAATTTTATGACTCTATGGTTGCATGAAAAACTGTTATATGCATGGTTGCCAGAGTTTGTCACATACTGAAAATTCACTGACATCTACTAAGGAGAGTGTGCTAATATGAAAGTACTGGGACATTTATGATCCATTGGTAGTGAAAGTATTAAATAATATACAATTAACTCTAAAAGTGTTTCTGAGAATATAAATAAATCTATTCCTACGCTGAAAATGTTTGCTGTAAATGCCTTTAGAGTTCTTTGAAATTTTAGAAAAAAATGCTATTTGAATTAAAGAAAAAAAAAAAAAAAAAAAAAAGAAAAAGAAAAGTCTCATCTTAAGCATAACATCCCTAATCTGCACTCCTGATATTATTAGATATACTGGTAGTTGTGATATCTGTCATACACTGGTCATTGCCTCATTTTCACTAGCTCAAATGGTGTGAAAATTTTGACCTTGTAAAAACATCTTGATAAGATATTATCAGAAATCAAACAAATGAACTGATTATTGCATGATAGAGATCTGCTCCTGATTAAAGACACTGAAGGCTAGTTGCTGAAAATGGAATAAGCACAATGCTGAGTGGTATAAAGATGTTTCAACTCTACGTGACACAAATACCTCTGTCTCAGACATTGTCACTTCATACTTTCCACAGTAACTTCCTTCATTATTAAATGACACTGACATTTATATGCTTTAGTAAAGTGTTTGCATATTAAGTTCCTCCTTGAGGCAACATGTAATGGTTAAAGTGGATTTGGATTCTGTCTTCATATCCTAACAGAGCAGCACTGAACATCAGTTTTTGCACATGGTGCTAGCTATCGCCAAGCAACATTCTGCAATAACAGTGTGTTCTTTTTAGCAAATGGCATTACAGCAAAACATAATTATTGCAAATTTCATGAAGGAACATGATTTTTATGTGAACTTTTTTAATAGAGAAGTGCAGGGCATAAAATAATGGTTGCCATCTTACCATTGGTGACTAAGAAATTGCAACTGGCAAGTGAGATGTGATAAACTTGGAAATACATGGTTAAAACTTCCCACAATTTATTTTCAAGATTTTATTTTATTTCTGTTTATTTTTTTGTAACAGATTATAATTTTTTTCATACTCAGGCCACACCTCCTATCCCAAATATAAAATATATTTCAATATGACAGAATTCATGTTTCATCACCACATAAAATATTTAAGCAACGAGTTCGTGGTTGAAGCTTTGCCTGCGAGATATTTAAAGTGCATTTAAATTGTGACTTCTCGCTGCAGGGAATTGTTGGAAACACGAGAAAAAAGGTCATTTTGCCATTTGCATTCGATTGCAAAATTGCCAGTTTTTTTATCTGATTTTGGTAGGAGACTTCCAATTTTCAACACGTTTCTTCCAACTCTCTTATTCTTAAAATTTCTCATGATTTTTATGTAGCTTGCCGTACCACTGTGTTATTTGCACCCAGAAAAGAGATTTTTATCTTCTAAAAGCAGTTGGTTTTTCTCTAGAAAGAAAAGAAAATCAAAGTCGTTTCATCGGTGAGATATGCTGTCCTTCTGCTTTGTGTGTGAGAGTCCAAAAATGTCATGTTCCAGTTCTCAATAGTTGTTATTTTGTTCGTCCTGCCAGTGAGCGCTGTGAGTTTCATGTGCTTCTGAGAAATAATTTTAAGAAATTTCGATCTTTTATTTTCGTTATGTCTGTAAAAAAGGTAATATGCACATTTATTTTTCAGAAATTATTCACAGATTACTTTTCTTTTATTAATTCACCAAAGAAATGTAATATATTTGCAATATATACCATTTGTCATTGCAATACTTTGATTTCGCACAGTGGAAGGGCCCGATGTTCTTAACCCTTTGAATTTTATGACCGGCTTTATCCGGTCAACAGAAGTTTTGCTACTTGGCATATATTAACTTATAATTTAAGATATTTTGTTTTCTTACTTTCTTTAATAATGTAATATCATCTTAATGAATGTAAGTTTATGAAAATGCAGACTAAAATAAGTAATTATACAAATTCAATTAATAAATCTTGTTTAAATACTGGTCTTCATGCTGGATCTAAAATCCTTTGCCACTCAGAAGGTTAAACATAGGCATGCACAAGGACAACGAGACTTGTACTGAAAAAGAAATCTGCAGAAGCAAAAGACCAAAAAATTATTTGTGCAGAATGCCTGTTCTCTGCCTTTGTGCTGGAGCACAACCACCACTGAATGCATTGGATCATGTTGCAGCTGTATATAGAAAAATGTTTCCATCAGTAAAATCACTAAGAGATACTCAAAAGTGCAGGCATAGAAGAAAATGGATTCAAGGAATAGGTATATATATATTAAAAAAAATCAGATATTGATTGCATTAAAACACCTTCATTCTGTCTCTCTACAGAAGCAATAATATTGATTCAAAACTGTACTCAGTTGTTTCTTTTTTCTTTTCTTTTTAAATCCAGATATTTAGAAATTGAATGTAGTTTACTTCCTGTCTCCATGTTAGAAGGAGATTCAACAGGGTTTAATATAAGCTAATTATTTAAACAGTTTTCAGCTAATTATGAAAACTTTAAAAGAAAATGCAATTCTTCAAGATAAGCAATGCACCAGGAATGGTAGGCTTGAAGACTGGTGTTGCAGGCATTTTAAGAAAAGAAATTTCAGATTTGCAAATTATGAGGTGCACCTCTCGCCTCTTAAATTTAGTAGTTGAAAAAGGTGGCAGCTGCTTTACTAATAAGTATAGATGAATACATTGTTGGTATTTATTATTTTCTTAAAAAGAGTTCTAAAAGGAAGGAAAAATTGAAACATTTCCAAAAGCTGCATAATACTAAAGAAAAAATTTGAAATATGGATGTACACACTGGTTATCTTTAAAGAAATGTTTATCTAGAATCTCCGACTAATGGAACTCATTCATACATTTTTAAGAACAAAGTAACTACCTCTAGAGTTAATATAAAAGGCTGTGTAGAAAAATTACAAAATGCCTAAAGTAAATGGTGATAGAGTTATGATTTCCACTATTAAAAATACGTGCGAGAAAACTTTATTTCTGCACCTGCACGCAATATAATTGACAATTCTCAAAAGACTGCTATAAAATATAAGCAGAAAGCTCTCCCAAAATTTAATAAATAAATAAATGCTCCACAAGGAACACATTTTCCAATTATTGTAAGTTTATTTTTTGAAGAACGAATATTTATGTTTAAGACCTTAACAAAGCTTTTTGCTCTCTCTGTGCTGCCATTGTTCAATGTTCTTAATGCAGTTCTACGTTACAGAATTCCATCAAGTCATTTTTGCAATTAATGATTAGTGATCTGGTTAAAGTATTATTTAATGATTAGTAAAACTGATTAAAGTATTTTTCTATTAAAAGGTACAAATAATAAAAATGTTTTTTTTTTACATATAAGTATTTTTGTATTATTTGCATTTACAATTTAGTAATTGAAGTTTCAGATATTAATTAGTTACTATTTAAAGTTAATTCATTATTAAAAAAATATATATTTTTATTATATAAAAAAATCTTTTTTCATTGAGAAAATTCTTCTGATTTTTAAAAAAATTTCAGGAACTACTAAAATATCTTGCCAAATCTTGTGGTAGCCATTTATTGAAAATACGTTGTAGGATTCAAAAGTTCCCAGATTGAGTCTGTAATGTACAATTTTTTTGCAGTAGTGCAACTACGAGAACATTTTTGTGGTACTACGCTCTCTCCCTTTTCTAAAAGTGGTTTGTCCCAAATCACATGGTCAAAAGCTGGCGGTGGCAGCATGTTTTGTAGGCAGGTGCATTTAGTAACCGGCTGTAGAAAGAAATATTGTCAGTTCAGCAGAGAACAATATCAAATTTTGTGTTTGCTTGGGAAAGAGTGCTACGGAGACTTTTGAAATGTTGAAGCATGTGTATGGAAGAAAAATGTTACCAAGAACACAAGCTTTTGAGTGGCATCGTCA